AGTGTCCACAATGAGGTGTCTGCATGGCCCTGCACACCTGAGCCCTGCTGGAGCTGGCACAGCCCCTCGGGGACATCTGCCCACTTTGGGGATTGGTGCACCACAAAGTCCAGAGAGCACGAGTGGCATCCCAAAGACCACAGGGCCTGTCCCTCCCGGGGGTGCCCCAGCCAGGTACTGTCCTGGAAGCACAGAGCAACTGCAGGCAGACACCCAGCTGTCGCTGCCTCCACCCTGGGCATCCAGCCTCAGGACACTGAGAAGGAAGATTCTGTTCTTCCTAAGTAACCGTTCCTGGGACCAAGAGGGAGCCACAGAAACCAAGTAAGGCTGGAGCGGCAGCCACAGCCAGGCGCCAAGACCCAGGAGCTGGAGGGGCAGGAAGGAGCCTCCTGGGACCTCCAGAGAAGGGTCAGCCGCCACACTGATAGGCTGGGCTGCTGGCCTTCAGGACCGGGGAGAGTGGGCTTCTGACAGGTCAAGCCACACAGCTTCCACCACTTTGTTGTGCAGCCTCTAGATTCTGAGGCCAGAAGAGGCAGTGGCCCCCGCAGAGGTACAGAGAAGGCAAAGGCCCAGAGGCCGGCCAGTTGGAGATCCTCTCAAGAGGCAGGGTGACTGGGACACTCCCATGTGACACCTGTCTTCTGACACCCACCTGGCCTCCAGGTGCTGAGTCAGGGGCAGAGAAAGATGGCGTCCAGGCAACTGAGGAGGACCGTGAGGGAAGACCCTCCAAGCCTAACCGACATTCACATGCCAGACGGGACACCTCTCAGACCCAGAGGCCTTGGGAAGACACTGTCTGACGGCCATCAAGCTGCTGTGAGCCTTGTGAAATGCCCTCTCATATTTCTTTCCCAAAGCATCTTGCATCTGGACCTGAAGACCCTAAGTGATGGCCTACAGCTGAGCTGCTGCAAGTCCTGCCCAGGGAGGGGGATGTGGACCCACACAGCTTAACTCCCTCCAAGCACTGAGAGGAGCACAGCTGCTGTGTCTAGTGAGCCACCTTCCTGTGGGCTTAAGTCTAGGGCTGCTGGTCACAGAGCTGCACCCTCCTGGGGACCCCCGAGGATTGACCAAAGCCATTCCCAGGAACTGGGGCTCCCTCCCTAAGGAGAGCTGCTGATCTGGGGTGCCCTGGGTGGGGGCTGCAGTGGGTAGAGGATGCCCTGGGTGGGCAGTGTCCTGGGTCACGGATGGGATCGCCATGGGTGAGAGATGCCCTGGGTGGGTTGACAGGGATTTGGGGGTGCTCTGGGTGGGGATGCCCTGGGCGAGGATCCCCTAGGTCATGGCTGGGGTTGCTATGGGTGGGAAGTGTCCTGGGTGGGGGGTGAAATGGGTGGGGGATGACTGGGGGATGTCCTGGGTGGGGGACACTCAGGGCATGGCCTCACCTCTCACCAGGCTCCCGCCTCCCTGGGTCATGGATGGGTTGCCATGGATGGAAGAGACCCTGGATGGGAGATGCCCTGGGTGGGGGTGACATGGGTGGGATTACCATGGATGGGGGATGCTGTGGTTGGGAGATGCCCTGGGTGGGGGGATGCCCTGGGTCATGACTTGGGTTGCCATGGATGAGTGATGCCTTGGGTGAGGTGACCTGTGTGGGAGTGACATGGGTGGGGATGACCTGGGTGGGGGTGACATGGGTGGGAGATGCCTGGGTGGGGGTGACATGGGTAGGGGATGATGGGGGCATGCCCTGGGTGGGGGTGCCCTGGGTGGGAGGTGCCCTGGGTGGGGGATGATGGGGGCATGCCCTGGGTGAGGGATGCCCTGGGTGGGGGGTGCCCTGGGTGGGGGATGAGGGGGAGATGCCCTGGGTGAGGGATGCCCTGGGTGGGGGTGCCCTGGGTGGGGGATGAGGGGGAGATGCCCTGGGTGAGGGATGCCCTGGGTGGGGGGTGCCCTGGGTGGTGGTGACATGGGTGGGGGATGATGGGGGGATGCCCTGGGTGAGGGATGCCCTGGGTGGGGGGTGCCCTGGGTGGGGGATGAGGGGGAGATGCCTTGGGTGAGGGATGCCCTGGGTGGGGGGTGCCCTGGGTGGGGGATGAGGGGGAGATGCCTTGGGTGAGGGATGCCCTGGGTGAGGGATGCCCTGGGTGGGAGGTGCCCTGGGTGGGGGATGATGGGGGATGCCCTGGGTGGGGGGTGCCCTGGGTGGGGGATGAGGGGGGATGCCCTGGGTGGGGGTTGCCCTGGGTCATGGATGGGTTGCCATGGATGGAGAGGCCCTGAGTGAGGTGCCCTGGGTGGGGGATGAGGGGGGATGCTGTGGTTTGGCACTTCGCACTTAGGAGGCTTCTCTCCCCAGGAGAGGCTGAGCACCAGGGAGCGTAAATGGCGGCAGGTCGGGGCTAGGGACGGCTGTGAGTCCCAGATGGGGCTGGGCAGTCCACCCCTTCCTTCCCTCTTCCTTCTGCTTAAGCAAGGGGTTGGATGGTATGCACTTTCCACCTGCTGGAGGGTGGTGGCCGGGTGGGCACAGCCATGGCGCCTGAGCTGGGCTGGAGGCCTCTGCAGTGCTGGACAGCTATAAATAGGCCTTGTGGAGCGGCGGCCTCCCCAGAAAGCTCTAGATCTGAGCCTGTGCTGGGCTGGGGAGGAGCTGGGAGGTGATGGGCGGTTTGAATCTTCTTGATGGAATTCTACTGTGATCTGCACACTTTCCAGGGAGCACTCTACTCTGGGTAATAGTTGGAGCAGCCATTACTGCAGCATCAGAGTGAGGAAGCTGGGAGAAGGGGACCAGGAGGTGAGTATGAAGGCCAGGGCATGGCCTCGCGTCTGCACCAGGCTCCCGCCACCTCCTTCCCTTCTGCCAACACAGACAGCAGCGCTCAGCCTACCACCTAGCAGTGCCTTTGTGGAGGCGGATCTCTGTGGAAATAACGCCCTACAGACCCTTCTCTGTTAGGGACGCTCACACCCTAACACAGCGGGCGCCCTGCAGCAACCGAGGGGGGCAGGGCCCCTCCCCTCGCCAAGTGCTTCCAGGATCATGTGATGGGAGAGGGGCTGGCTGGAGCCCACAGCTGCGACACGCGTCTGTGAACCCAGTTCCAGGCTGGGCCAGTGCTGTCTGCGCCACCAAGACACCCCCCCACACACAGTGGTCCCGGTGCTGTGGGCTCACGTCACCATGGGGGCCGGGGTAGTCCGGAGGCAGAAGGGGCGTGTGAGAGCGACGCGGGTTCATCAGCACCCCAGGAACACGCGCACAAAGGACCGATCCCTAGGGTCCATGACAGCTGGTCTGCTCCTCCCGAAAGACGCCTGAGCGTCGGGGACAGCAGCTTCAGAACAACCGGCCACAAAGGGGCGCGACGCGTCCCCCTCGCCTCCTTTCAAGGTCCTCATTTACATAACCGAAACCGCAGAATCAAGAGCTCCGTCCTCCCCCAAAGGCAGGGCAGAAGCTGGGGCCGTGAAGGCGGCGTCCTAGCAGCCCTCGGCGTCCTAGCAGCCCTCGCCCTCCTGCTGGCCGCGACACGGGTGCGCAGCCTGTGGACAGCGGAGGGCCCGCCGCGTTGGGATCTGCGGAGCTGCTGGCGCTGTCACCTGCAGGGAGGGGACGCTGGCGCCGGGCCTCCGCACCTCCGCGCGCGAGACTGTGACCTCGTTTCACACCTCTGTGCCCGAATTTGCCACGGTTCCTTGGCGGCGGCGGCGGCGGCGGCGGTCGGGGATCTGCCGTGGGCGGGCACTGCTCCTGCCGCCGCGCGGGGGGCCTGGAGCGAAGGGCCGCCGTGCGCCCTCGGTCCACCGCGGTGAGCTGACTCAAAGGCAGACCACAACGCGTGCTGGGGACCAGTCGCGGACCTGTCCTTGGAGTCGCCGCCCCGCTCGCCCCCCGGAGGAGAAACACGCAGCTCCTACGGCTGCAGCCCGCCAGGACCCCGCCCGGGGGAGGGTCGCAGGTGGCGCGCACGCGGCCATCGGGGAAATCGCAGATCCTCTGTCGCGCGGACCCGCCGGACCCGCGCTCCAGGCCTTGCACAGCGCCCACTATGCTCTGGCTTACCTCGGAGATGCAGCCACTGCAGCGCGGCGCCTCCGCGACTCGCCCTGCGCCTGAAGCCCGAGCGCAGCGCCACCGCCACCGCCCCGGCCCCTCCCCGCCGGCTCCGCCCCGGCCCCGCCCCCCGGTCCCGGCCCCGCGCGCACCGCGGCCCCGCCCGGCCCGAGCGCGGCTCACCGAGCAGTGAGGTCGCGATGCCTTACAAGGCCTCCCGCGCAGGCCCCGCCGGCCACCGGCGCCCGCTCGGCGTAGGGCGCGGCTGTCCGCGGAGCGTGGGAACCCGGCGGAGGCCGGGCGGGGGCGCACCTGGCCTTCCGGCTAGAGCGCGCGGCTAGTCCGGGTGGGCGCCGAAGGGGAGAGGCACTGGCAGCGGCTGCGCCCGATGCCTGCAGGCTTTGGGCTCTGCTGAGACACAAGCGGCCTCTGGTTACCTGTGTGAGAGCTTGGTCCTGAGACCTCTGCTCACTCCTTTCTGAGGACACCTGCCTGGGGTCTCCACCCTCGGGATCATGGGTGGGGTGGGGCGAGGAGCGCACAGCCCTTAGAAGGTCGCCGGGCAGAAGATTCTGGGCTGCGGGAGTACGTAAGTGCCTTAGTTCTAGGGTCCCCTTGGTCCTTAAGGCCACAGGACACTTCCAGCTTTACTACTGTGGCTCTGGTGGACCTGACTGAGTACCCCCGACCCCAGCCATGTTCAATCTGCTGACTGCGGTCCCCCATCTCATGTAGGCTTTGTCCCTTTCTCCTGGCACCAGGACCCTCCCTCCCCCTCTGACCCTTTCCTGGTTAGAACAGCCCCCCGCCCCTTCCAGGCTGCACCCTTCTCCTGGCTGCAGGACCCCACCCACCCAAGACATACATCCAGGCTCTGTCCAGTTACACAAGCACTGGCCCACCCAGCTTCCGTCTCCCTCTCAGATTCCAGCCACCCTGGGAGCACCCAGGAGGAAGTTGAGATCTGACATACCAGCCCATTCATGGGTGAGGGTCTGAGGCTTCAGGAGCCAGGAAGAGCCAGGCTCTTGGGGGCATCTTGTCCCCATCTCACGCTGCTTCCTCTCTGACCCTCTGGTTTCTTCTGCTCAAAGTGGGCCAAAGGTTCACTGCTAAGCTGGGGAAAGGTGGAGCCAGGCCCAGGCCCTCTCTGGCCCTCTCTGAGACTTGGAGCTCTTTCTATTGGGTGGAGGCCTGGTGAGCAACAATGTCAATCATGGTCTTCCTACTGGTATATCAGCAAAAACAGACACTTACCTCAAACACAGGTGCTTCCAAAAGCTTTCCCATACTCCCGACAAAGGCACTGACTTCTCCAAGGAAACTGCAGAGGCGGCAGCAGACTCAGGCAGCAGCTTTCAGGGACCCTTGGGAAGGAGGGCAAGTGTGCGGGTCAGCTGCAGGAGCAGCGTGTCCAGGGTGTTGAGGGAGCCTCCAGGTGAGGCTGTGGGCCTGGCTTCCCATCAGGCGCCCACAGTCCCTGAAGACATGGTGGTTGTGAATAAAACTGCTTTGGGTGTGTGACTTTATGGCAGGCAGCCTTAGACGTGCTGATACGGTCACCTCCCGGTTTGGGAATGGGAGGGTCCTGCAATCCAGCCTGGCCTCCTGACCAGCACACCCTGGGTAGGATGGTCTGGAGCCTTGGCACTTGGTGCCATTGCAGGACCTGGATGACCTCTGCCCCCTCCAGTTGTTCAAGACTGGCCATCAGTGGAGATGTGTGCCAGGTGCCCTGTGAAGGGGCTGCACTAACAAGTCCTTCCACATGGGTGGCTGGGACCTCATTGACTCTCCAGCTCTGGGGCCAGAAATGCCACAGTGTGGCGGACGAGCCCTGTACCCTGTGAGGCTCCAGGGAATCTCCCTGCCCCTTCCTGCTGTGTCACCTGACCTCTACCTCTGTCCTCATGGCCCAGGCGTCTGTCTCCTCCGTGTCATAGCCCACTTGGGAGGCCTTGATGCCCATGGGGTATTCCTGGGAGCCTCTGGCTCCCCCGGTGTGCCCTGTGGCCCCTGTGGGGTTCTCGGGATGTCTGGGCTGCTCCTGGAGGCTGTCCTGCCCACCTGGACGGCAGTCGCCCGTAGCCAGGGCCCTGGAGCTTCTTCATGCAGCCTGCTCACGGGCAGCTCTTGGCTCTCCAGGTTACAAGTGACCTGGACAGTCATGTCCACAGGGTTTGCAGGCACAGCAGCAGCTCAGAAAGCCCACAGCAGACCCTTCACCAGACCCACTCCAGAGAGATGGAAAGACAGAGGCAGAGTCGGACAGAGTCGGACAGACTCAGAGACAGACTGCGTGAGGGACACGGAGCAGAGTGGAGCTGGCTTGGCCTGGCCGCCTGCTGCTTGGACACTCCCTGGAGCTCAGTGGAGACAAGCGGCTTGTGTCAGGGCAGGGCCCCGCTCTCCTGCCCAGCAACACAGGGCTGGCCGAGTTGTCACACGGTCCTCACAGCCAGGTGTGGTGGGCCTGCTGGGGGCTTCCTAGGGAGCTGGGGGTGCAGCGAACCCTGAGAGGGAGACCGAGCGTGGCATCCAGGGTCCTTCCTGTCCTGTGTGAGGCACTTCCTGCTGCAGTGGGTGGGGAAGCCTCTCTGCTTGCCAAGCCTGTGCCCCCAGGGTCCTGCGGACTGTCAGGGAGCTGACTGTGGGCACAGCTGTGGGGCAGAAGCCCAGAACGGGGGCCTCCAGGGTCCAAGGGGTTCTGCCCAGCTGGGGGCCTCAAGCCCCTCCCATCCTGCTCTGTGCACCCCCCCTGGCTGCCTGGGTCTGCCCCTCTGACCGGCTCTGTGCACCCCCCCTGGCTGCCTGGGTCTGCCCCTCTGACCGGCTCTGTGCAGCCCACCACTCTGTGGCCGCCTGGGTCTGCCCCTCTGACCGGCTCTGTGCAGCCCACTACTCTCTGTGGCCGCCTGGGTAGGGTTTCATTCAGTGTCCTGGCCCACAGGGTATAGTCTGGGGCCACACCTGGCATGGGGATTCTGGGATGTCACCCTCAGCACTCCTCTGTTTCCATCAGGAACAGCAGCCACACCCCCAAAATCAAGTGCAGACTGCCCCTCAGACCCTCTCTCAGCCCCTCTCTCAGCCTTGCTTGCGCCCCAGGACCTTGATACTGGCTGCCTCACAGCCTGGGCAGCCTGTACACAGAATGGGCTTCATCTCCAGCAGCAGAGTGGAGCCTTCTCTGCGCAGAACCCCTGGGCACAGGGACCCTTCCCCTGTCTCGCCAGGGTCTGTGTCCTGGATCTCTTGGACATGACCCATCATTTTCCCTTGGAGGTAGGAGACTGCCTGGGAGCAAGGAGCTGAGGAGACTTGGCTCCAGGGCCCAGAAACCCAGGACAAAACACTCCAGATCCATCAAGGGGTTCAGGAGCCAACCTCAGATGGACACAGGGCTCTGTGAAACAGCCACTGCCAGGCAGGAGAGACCATGCTGACCCTGCAGTCTGCAGGCTCAAGGGGGCTGGTGCCTAAGGGCATGTCCACAGGTTGGCCCTAGGTCCATGCGGGCAGCATTGGAAAGCCTCAGCTACACACTGGACGCAGGTCCAGGCCCCTGGAGCAAGACTGGTCATCCTTGTTCTGACCCAGGCCCAGGGGAGAAACTCGCCCAGGCCAAAGCACCAGGCTGGCCCAGCAGAGTCCTTCAGGACGGAGCAGGGCAGGAGCCCAGGGAGGGACAAGTGTGTAAGGACAAGGCTCCCACAAGGGCAGGATGCGGCCGAGGCATATTCCTGGGTGGCCGCAGGACCCCCAGTGCCCCAGTCCAGCACTGAGCAGTCCAGCAGGGAGCCTACCCTGCTGCCCGCCTGCCTTGGGAGGCTCCAGTGTGGCTCCACAGCAGCACGGTGGGCACAGATATGCAGGGGGCAGTCAATGCCCCTCAGGGCCAGCAGCTCCTGTGTGGGCCTTGGCTGGGGACACACGAGCCTGGGCACGGGGGCCCCAGAGCGGGTGATCAGCTCAGTGCGTAGCTGTACATGGTCATCAGCGAGGCCCGTGAGAAGCTGAGGCAGCCACAGGTGGGTCCCTGAGTCCTCGGCAGCATCGGCAGATGTCTGCCAGGATGTGTGTGTGCATTTGTGAAGTGAATGTGGGTGTGTGTGGTGAACATGCACACGCACACATTTACATTCCACAGGGTGGACGCTCGTGTGTGGCCATGTAGCTCCCGCTATTTTAAAGGCCTGGAGCTCGGTCTTCTGATGTGCATGGCTGAAGCATGGGTCCACATGTGCCCTGCAGACCAGCAACGCTGGTCAGGTGCCGATGGCCGGCGGCAGAGTCAGGCTGAGTCACGAGGAGGCCTGAGGTGCATGTCGCGCAGGGCAGAGCAGCTTGGAGCATGCGCTCCCCGTCCTGCTGGACCTGCAGGGTGTTAGCGGGCACGTTCTCAGTGCACAGCCATTAGCTCCCCGCGGTTCTAGAAAGGAGACAAGAAATGGAAGACAGGAGGACCCAGGCGTCAGGACAGCAGAGGGACAAGGACTGGAACCAGCTGACAAGGAACAGAGGATGGAGGAAGGTTGGCACGGGGCTGGAGGTGCTGGCCAGGATGGCAGTGCTGGTGCCGGTCGAGCGGAGAGCAGAGGCCCAGCACTGGGCAGCAGCAGGCCAGACTACTGAGGCTGGGGCAGCCAGAGCCAGCTGCGTCTCAGGCTGCGTTGTGGGTGTGTCCAGAAGGCCCTGCCAGAGCAGAGCAGGAGGCGCTGTCAAGGGATGCTTGTCTCCCTGGGGCCCAAGGGGTGCACACAGGAAGCCCCCGCCCCCAGCGGGACCTGGGGTGCGGGCAGGCCTGGTCCTGGGGGGGAGCAACACAAAGCCTGGCGGGTCCCTGGGTGATGTTGCTCAGGGAGTGAGGACTGGCGAGGGCCCGGGAGGCTCTGCTCCCTGGTCCTTCCACCTTCATGAGTACTGTGCAGCTTGGGGTGTGGAAGAAGGGGGCCCGGGAGGTGGGGCTCAGGTGAGGACCACATGCGGCCGAGCCACGTCCTGCCCCGAGGGTGCTCCACAGGCCGCTCTCTGCCCACCGCCATTTCAGAGAGGGAGGAGGCAGGCGGGACAACGCAGGAGTTCTCCTGAGGGTCAGAGGTCGTGGGGGTCTTGTGGGCTCACACAGGGCGGCTGGCTGCAGCAGCCCCACACAGAGCCCTGGTTTCAGTGCGAGGTTCGGCCTTGGCCCTCGCGGCTGCCAGTCGTTCATGGATCGTCACACACGGACAGCACCTAGCAGCCGAGGGGACCACATGACCACGCCTGCCGTCAGCAGGTGCTGTCTGTGCCGGTCTCCTTCAGACCCAGTGCCCCAGAGGAGGAGAGAGGGACCGCGTCAGGCCTGGTCCCGCCGTGCTCAGCAGGGCCACAGCAGGGCCCCTCCTGCCCAAACTGCCAGACTTTCCCCAGAACAGGGCGGGGCTGGGAATTGCACCCTTCCCCTCATGCCCTGCGTGGAGTCCTGCCCCCCACACGGAGGGTGGGGAGCCTCAGGGTCCTGACCAAGGCTCCCGTCCAGCCCTGCAGAGGGCAGCGCAGGGAGCCGGGCCTCTGTCTCCTGGAGCGGAGGAGGCTGAGGAGGAGCAGGCAGCAGGCTCTGCCACCCAGGTCCACGGTGGCTCGGTCAGGGATGCTCACACATGGGCAGCCGGAGGCCCAGAGTCCCGCTGACCATTCAGCTCCCCAGCCACGGGTTCTTCTGAGCAGCCCCCAAATCCCATCCCAAAGCTGAGCGGAGGCACCTGAGAGGGGCCTGGCCATGGTCCCCTGCCCTCTGGGGCGTCTGAGCCCTGCAGAGGCCTCCTCGCCTGTCCTGAGGAGCCCCTGGGAAGCCACAGAGATGCCCGTGGGTCTCAGATGTGGGGAGCCTGGCGCAACGCGGTAACTGAAGGCTTCAACCTGCTCTGAGCTATAATAATTCCACAAATTCAGCATGGAAAAGTTCCAAATTTAAAAACCTAAGAGGTTCTTCTTTTAGGCTGAAATACGTTTTTGTGTGTCCTAGAGATGGAACACAAGAGTGCTCTACTTCTGAGCTACCTCCAGCCATGTCCACTTTTCATTTTGAGACAGCCCCAGG